TCTCGTGCGTCGCGATGAGGCTGTGCGTCACCCTGCCGCCCAGGACTCGTGTCTCCTCCTCCTCCTCCTCCTCCTCCTCCTCCTCCTCCTCCTCCTCCTCCTCCTCCTCCTCCTCCTCCTCCTCCTCCTACTCCGCGTCAATATCCTCCTACTCCGCGTCAATATCCTCCTCCTCCTCCTCTTCCTCCTCCGCCTCCTCCGCCTCCTCCTCCTCTTCCTCTGCGCTCGTCGAACGTCGGACGGCCTGGCGTGCAGGAGGCGGGCCCCGCGGGCCCCTGGGGTCCTGGACCCCGAGGCCTCCCCCTCGGGGCCAGCTTTTCGTTCTGGGCCGTTCTTGGCCGTCCCGGGCCCGGGCCCCTGGCGAACGATCTCCTGGGCCCGTTGCCCTCGGAGTCGCTTTTTCCTTTCGCGGCGAACCCGTCGTGCACACTGCATCCTGGCCGCGGAGTTCGCCTCCCCTGCGCTCGTCGGACATGCATGCACACAGCCATCACTCGACCGTGAGGAACGCCAGAACATAGTCAGAGTCCAGCATCCCCGGACAGAACTGTTTTCCTCAGGGCGGTTCCTCAGAGTGTTCGCTCGTCCTCCTGCTCCTGATCCGCCTGAGCCTTTGGCGTCCTCGTCGAGCTGTTCATCGTCGTCGTCGTAGTCCTCCTCCACCTCCTCCTCCTCATCATCCTCCTCCCGCTCTTCCTCCTCCTCCTCCTCCTCCTCCGCTCTTCATCCCTCCTCCTCCTCCTCCTCCTCTCGCTCCTCCTCCTCCTCCTCCTCCTCCTCCTCTCCTCCTCCTCCTCCTCCTCCTCCTCCTCCTCTCCTCCTCCTCCTCCTCCTCCTCTCCTCCTCCTCCTCCTCCTCCTCCTCCTCCTCCTCCTCCTCCTCCTCCTCCTCTCTCCTCCTCCTCCTCCTCCTCCTCCTCCTCCTCCTCTCCTCCTCCTCCTCCTCCTCCTCCTCCTCCTCCTCCTCCTCCTCCTCCCCTCCTCCTCCTCTCTCCTCCTCTCTTCCTCCCTCCTCCTCCTCCTCCTCCTCCCCCTCCTCCTCCCCCTCCTCCTCCTCATCATCATCCTCATCCTCATCCTCTCTCCTCCTCCTCCTCCTCCTCCTCCTCCTCCTCCTCCTCCTCCTCCTCCTCCTCCTCCTCCCCTCCTCCTCCCTCCTCCTCCTCCTCCTCCTCCTCCGCCTCCCACTTTTCCTCCTCTCTCCTCCTCCTCCTCCTCCTCCTCCCTCCTCCTCCTTCCTCCTCCTCCCCCTCCTCCTCCTCCTCTTCTTCCTTCTCCTCCTCCTTCTACTCCTCCTCCATCTTTACCTCCACCCTCGTCTCCCTCCTCCTCATCTCACTCCTACTTCGTCTGCATCCTCATGCGAATCATCATCAGCATCCTGGTGCAATTTCTCGTCGACGCGTTCTCCTCCTCATCCTCCTGTTCCTCACCCTCCTCCTCCTCATCATCCTCATCATCATAATCATCATCAGCATCATCATCGTCATCATCCCCATCATCCTCATCATCCTCATCCTCGACCTGTTCGCCGCCCTCCTCCTTCTAACACTCCAGAGAGGAGGGGCACAAGGATCACCAGGGGGCTGTTGGGGTTGAGGTGCAACAGCCGGCTCGCAGTCGAATGCAGGTTCGGATGCCACACATTGCGATGTGTATGTGTGTCTGTCTATATGTCTCTGTGTGTCTCTGCGTGTATATGTGGGTGTGCGTGTGTGTGTGTCTGTGTGTCTGTGTGTCTGTGTCTGTGTCGGTGTCTGTGTCTGTGTCTGTGTCTGTGCCTGTGCCCGTGTCTGTGTACGCGCGTGTGCCCGTGTGCGTGTGCGTGTGCGTGCGCGTGTGCGCGAGCGCGTGCGCGTGCGCGTGCGCTTGCACGCGTGCGCCTGTGCACGTGCGCGCGCGCGTGTTTGCGAGTGCGCGCGTGTGCGCGCGTGTGCGCACGTGCGCGCGTGCGCGCGTTCGCACCTGCGCGTGCGCGCGTGCGCGCGCGTGCGCGCGTGCGCGCGCGCGTGCGCGCGTGCGCGCGTGCATGTGTGCGTGTGTGCGCGTGTGCGCGCGTGCGCGCGTGCGCGTGTGTGCGCGCGTGCGCGCGTGCGCGGGTGTGCGCGTGTGCGCGTGTGCGCGTGTGCGCGTGCGCGCGTGCGCGCGTGTGCGCGCGTGCGCGTGTGCGCGAGTGCGCGTGCACGCGCGTGCGCGTGCGCGCGTGTGCGCGTGTGCGCGCGTGCGCGCGGGTGCGCGTGCGCGCGCGTGCGCGGGTGTGCGCCCGCGCGCGTGCGCGCGTGCGCGCGGGCGCGTGTGCGCGAAAGCGCGTGTGCGCGCGTGTGGGCGCGTGAGAGTGTGCGTGCGCGCGTGCACGCGCGTGCGCGTGGGTGCGCGTGTGCGTGTGGCAGTGTGTGCGTGTGTGCGTGTGTGCGTGCGTGCGTGCGTGCGTGCGTACGTGCGTGTGTTCGTGCGTGCGTGTGTGCGCGTGCGCGCGTGTGCGTGTGCGCGTGCGTGCGCGTGTGCGTGTGTGCCTGTGCGAGTGTGCGCCTGTGCCTGCGTGCGTGCGTGCGTGCGTGCGTGCGTGCGTGCGTGCGCGTGTGCGTGTCTGCGCGTGCGCGTGTGTGCGCGGGTGCGTGTGTGCGTGTGTGCGCGTGTGCGTGCGTGCGTGTGGGTGTGTGTGCGTGCGTGCGTGTGAGCGTGCGTGCGTGTGTGCGTGTGTGCGCGTGAGCGTGTGTGCGTGTGTGCGTGCGTGCGTGTGTGGGCGCGTGCGTAAGTGCGCGCGCGTGCATGCGCGTGTGCGTGCGCGTGGGTGCGCGCGGGTGCGCGCGTGTGCTCGCGTGCGCGTGTGTGCGCGTGAGCGCGCGCGCGTGCGCGTGCACGCGCGTGCGCGTGCGTGCGCGCGTGCACGTGGGCGCGCGTGCGTGCGCGCGTGTGTGCGCGTGCGTGCGTGTGAGCGTGTGTGCGTGCGTGCGTGTGTGCGTGCGTGCGCGTGTGCGTGTGTGCGTGTGTGCGCGTGAGCGTGTTGGCGTGCGTGTGTGCGCGCGTGCGTGTGTGCGTGTGAGCGTGTGTGCGCGTGTGCGCGTGTGCGTGTGAGCGTGTATGCGCCTGTGCGTGCGTGCGTGTATGAGCGCGTGCGTACGTGCGCGTGGGTGTGTGTGTGTGTGTGCGTGTGAGCGTGTATGCGCGTCTGCGTGTGCGTGTGTGCGCGTGTGCGTGCGCGCGTGCGTGCGTGCTGCGCGAGCGCGTGTGCGTGTCTGCGTGTTGCGTGCGCGCGTGCGTGCGCATGTCGTAGCGTGCGTGCGTGTGTGCGTGTGTGCTCGCGTGCGCTGTGCGCGCGTGTGCGCATGCGCGCTGTGGCGCGACGGCGGCAGCGCGCCGCGGGCGGGCGCGCGGGCGGGTTGGCGGCGGGCGGGTGCACGTGCACGAGGGCGCGCGCGTTCGCCATGCGCGCGCGCGGTGCGCGTGCGCGCGCGCGCGCGTTGCGCGTGCGCGCGTGCGCGTGCGTGCGGTGAGCGTGCGCGTGTGCGTGTGCGCGTGCGTGTGCGCGTGCGTGTGCGCGTTTCGCTTTGCGCGTGTGCTCGGGTGCTGCGCTGGCGTCGCGCGTGGCGCGGAGGGGGGGGGGGGACGCGTGCGCGCGCGTGTGCTTGCGCGTGTGCGTGCGTGCGGGGCGCGCCTTCGTGTGGTGTGTGTGTGCGTGTGCGTGTGCGTCCTGCGTCTGCGTAATGTGCGTGTGCGTGCGTGCGCGTTGCGTGTGCGCGCGCGTGTGCGTGCGCGCGTGTGTGTGCGCGTGGCGTGTGCGTGAGCCGCGTGCGCGTGCGCGTGCGCGCGCGATCGCGCGCGCGCCGTCGCGCGCGTGCGCGCGTGGCGTACGCGTGCGCGCGCGCGAGTGCGTGTGCATGTGCGCGTGCGTGCGCGTGCGCGTGTGCGTGTGCATGTGCGCGTGCGTGCGCGACGCGTGTGCGCGGTCGCGTGTGGCGTGTGTGTGCGTGCGCGCAGCGCAAAGCGCATAGTCGTGCGCGTGCGCATGCGCGTGCGCGTGGGCGTGCGCGTTGCGTGGAGCGCGTGCGCGTGCTGCATGCTGGCGCGTGCGCGCGCGCGTGCGTCGGCAGCTCGTGTGTGTAGCGTTGTGTGCGTGCGCCGTGCGAGTGCGTGTGCGGGTGTGTGTGTGCGTGTGCGTGTGCGTGTGCGTGTGCGTGCGCGTGTGCGTGTGCGTGTGTGTGTGCGTGTGTGTGCGCGTGCGTGCGCGTGCGTGCGTGCGCGTGCGCGTGCCCCTGCCTGCGTGCATGTGTATGTGTGTGCGTGCGCGCGCGTGGGTGTGCGCGCGCGTGCGCGTGTGCGAGTGTGGGCATGCAAGCGCGTGCGCGTGCGCGCATGTGCGCGGGCGCGCGGGTGCGCGCGTTGGCGCGTGCGCGTGCGCGCGCGTGCGCGTGCGCGCGTGCGTGTGCGCGTGCGCGTGCGCGTGCGCGCGCGCGTGTGCGCGTGCGCGTCTGCGCGTGTGCGCGTGCGTGCGCGTGCGCGTGCGTGCGTGTGGGCGTGCGTGCGTGCGCGCGGGCGCGCGGACGGGCGGGCGGGCGTGCGCGCGCGTGCGTACGCGTGTGCGCGTGCGCGTGCGCGTGCGCGTGCGCGTGCGCGTGCGCGTGTGCGTGTGCGTGTGTGTGTGAGCGTGCGCGTGCGCGTGCGGGTGCGCGTGCGTGTGCGTGTGCGCGTGCGCGTGCGTGTGCATGGCGTGCGCGTGCTTGTGCACGTTCGCGTGCTCGTGTGCGTGTGCGCGTGCGTGTGCGCGTGCGTGTGCGCGTGGGTGTGCGTGTGCGTCTGCGTCTGCGTATGTGTGTGCGCGCGTGTGCGTGTGTGTGTGCGCGCGCGTGTGCGTGCGCGCGTGCGCGTGCGCGTGCGTGCGCGCGTGCTGCGTGTGCGCGTGCGCGTGTGTGTTTGTGTGCGTGTGCGCGTGCGCGTGCGTGTGCGTGTGCGTGTGCGTGTGCGTGTGCGTGTGCGTGTGCGCCTGCGTGTGCAGGTGTGGTTGCGTGCGCGCGCGTGCTTGTGCGTGTGCGCGT